AGAAAAAATAAAATAAAATTTAACCATTAATGAAGGTGAGAAATTAATTCTAAAATTTCTGATCGTCATTCCCAATCAACTGATTTTAATTTATTGGGAGGTGATATATTAATTGATTTTAAATATGCATTGACTAGAAGTTTAATACCCAAAGATAAAAATTACAATTTGAGAATAATATATGATTGAAAAAAGAAAAAATAATAATGTTTGTACATATGAACAAATAAGTAATGCAAATTGTCTGAAAAAAATAAATCCATTTATTTCCACTTTTTAAAAAAAATTCAAATAATAAATGCATTACTTAAAATGATAAATTTTAAGTTGTTTATGTAGTGTGGAATAAATCTTATATTAATTTATTAGGATGTTATCTAACATTAATTTTTGAGAGATGTTTATTTTAAGTATTTTATCAATAAAAATAAAGGGTTTTTTTTTCATTAAATGATTTAATAATATTTTAACAATTTAAGAGTTTTATTTAATATTGCATGAATTTAAAGAATTTTATTAAATAATGTTAAAATATATATAGGTCTTTGATAATATATATGTAAACCTCAGGGAGGTGAGTGAAATTACTCATTTTAATATATAAGGCATCTAAGGGATAATTTCGTCATTATAGGTATGACATCAACATGACATCAGCAAATTCTGTTAAATAGCCTAATAGAGAGTAACATTGAGAGAATCTTGATAATAGTTTCAAAAATTAGAGCGATTAGTGTAAGTATTAAAACTACAGGAGAGATCTCTGTAATTGTTAGAAATCTGAGGAGAGATAAGTGTAATTTACCCACCCCCTTTTTGTTTGTAAATATCTATACAAAATTTGTTTTCATATATATTAAAACTTATGTGCATAAATTACAAAGATTCAAAAATGATAAAAACTTAGTCTTTTTACTTTATAATTTAACAAATTCCAATTTACAATAAGAAAAAATACTAAAAAAATTTAAACTATAATACCAAATAAAAATTGAACAATTGTAAAGTATTATTTAAATGTTACTCTTATAAATTTTTTAGTTTCAAAATTATTAATTAATCTTGAATAATCTAAAAAACTATTAATTAAGCTTGGAAAATCTAACTTATATGCTGTATCATTTTCAATGTATAAAAAAAAACACCTAATTAGTACACAGTGTGTTTGGGAGGGAAAATATTAAGTATACACCTAACTTTTGATATAATGCATAAAGTGGTGGCTCTAAGAGTTGAACCCATAACCTCAAGATTATTAGGCCAAGTCTTAACCATTTTCAATGTATAGTATACCTAATTCATTTAATATATATATATATAAATATATATATTGTGACATAATTGATCGAATGTAAAACTTGATCAATTTTCAATTTTGAAAATTTTCTTTCTAGAGACAACTATAATTACTATAGTCAATAATATTCTATAAACAATTCATATATTTGACAAACAACATCCTTTATTTTTAAATAGTCCACCTTTTAATTTTTCAGTAAAAATTCATTTTTGAACTACTAAAATTATTTGGTGGCACTATTTTTATACAAAGTTTTAGGGTTAACGTTGTTGTGTTGCTCGTTTGTCCTTAGGCTGCCCTGGCAAGGTGGTAAGGCCTAGAGTCCTGGGAAAGGGGTTGTCATGCAAACTAGTATATGGGTTAGTGATCCGTTAATTTAAGACAGATAGAAATGGTTGGTTTTCACTTAAATCAGATATGTTCACTTGACTTCAATAGAATTTATAGCATAATGAGAGGTAAGAGTTGTGGGGTTATGAGGTAAGGGAGGGACGATAGGCTAAGATTTGGTAGAGAGAGAAAGAGAGAGAGAGAGAGAGAGGGGGAAAAGGGACTAGGGTTGACAAGCTAGTGATTGGGAGTGATGGAGAAGATAAGGGAGGGTGGGGTAGAGATGGTGAGAGGTAAGAAAGAGTAGAGAAGAGACTGAGGATGGTGACAACAAGAAATGTACGAAAGGAGTTAGTAATGACTGAGTGATGCAATAGGGGTGATTGATTTTGAGGGATTTGCATAGAGAATTGAGATGGGAAGGGAGGGGAAGAGCAATAATTTTGTTATACTAAAGTAAGAATTCATAATAAAAATTTAGTATATTTTTGTATTTTTGTATTGAGAAGTGATTGATAGGTCGAATTTGACCCCTTGAATTTAAAAACGACGTCGTTTTCGTCGTTTTTGTTTTTTTGTTTTTTTGTTTTTTTTTTTGTTTTTTGTTTCAGAAGAAGAAAATCAGAAGAAGAGAAGAAGGAAGAAGAAGAAGAAGAAGAAGAAGTGGACTGGAGGGGCTAGCAAAATAGGGTGGATGCGGAGGCGGAGGCGGGGCTGCGATGTGACGATCGGCCGACAAGCGACGAGCTGCGACGCCGATGAGCTGCGACGACGACAACGACGACTCTGTTTCTCTCTGGCGATGGCGGGCGGAGGGGCTGCCATCTCTTCCCCTTTCTTTCTCCTCTTCCCCTCTCTTCTCTTTCTCTCTTCTCTTCTATCTGATTCGGGGGATTCGGGGGCTCAAATTCGGGAGAAAAAACATTTTCCTTTTTTATTTATTAAATTTTTTTTGTGATTTTTTTTTAAAAAAACTCACTAATACAAAAATAAATACATAAAATTAAGTACATTTTCGTATGTTTCTATATGTATTCAATTCGTTTTTAATTTCTTCACAAATATTATATTTTTAACTACATTTGAATTAGGTGTATTTAAAAAATAAAATAAAAAATTAATTAAAATATAGTGAAAAAAATTCACCAAAAATATAAAAAAATCAAAGCCAAGTAGATTGAATCTCGTCCTATATATGTTAAAATTCTTAAAAAACTTCCATTCAAACACAATTCAGTGTGTTTGGTTTGAGTTTTCTGTATTAAGTTTTTTGAAAATTAATTTTTTTTTGTTGTCGTATTTTTTTTGTTTTTAGTAAATATTTTTAAAATTTTAAACATGTTTTTATACTTTTTTAGATGCATCTTACTTGGATATATCTAAAAAGTAAAAAATTTGTAAAAAAATATTTTAAAAATTATTAAATACATAAAAATAAAAAAAAATGTACTGAATTCTTGTATTTTTTTATATTTTTGGTATTTAGTGAATTTTTAAAAGATTTTTTTTAAATTTTTTTTTATTTTTTAAGTGTATTTATGTTAGGTGTGTCTAAAAAGTAAAAAAAAATAGTTAAAATATTTAAAAAATTTAATAAAAATAAAAAAACACGAAAAATAAGAAATTGCAAATTTTTTGAAATGTATTTTTTGAAAAATAAAAACAAACAAATTGATTATTGTCCTTTGAAATTGATGTTAGTGGGTTACTTCGTAATTTCCGCTTCTAATAATTCGTTGCTTCCATTCTGGGTAAAGTAAGCTCAATAAAATATGAAGCGGTTGATGTATTTATTACAAAAGACAAAGCAAGTAATTATAAATAGCCAAACAGGAATATAAAAAGATTAGCAACGGCAATCCAAGCAAGTGGTCTCAATTAATTTATGGTGTCTACACTCGAAGGATGTAACAAGCAACCATAAGAGTAATAAAAATAAATGAAACAAAAGAAAGTAAAAATGTTCAAAATTTTCCAGGTTTGCATGACATTTCAGTTAATTTAATATATATATAGTTTTGGATACTTCTAATCAAATATATATATTATTTTTTAAAAAGTAAAAATAATTAAATAAATAAAATTTCACTCAAAAGGAAAAAATTTTTTTTAGTGAAAAGTCCATTTTTATAAGTGTATATGACATTAGGTTCAATGATTAATTTGTTTTTAGCTATAAGGACATAGTTAATAAAATATATTAACGAGAAATACAAATCATTGTTGTAAAGAACATTTTTTTTTTTTTCATTTTTTACATTTATACTTTTTCCATCTATACTCTCTCTTTATTCTTACACACTACTATCAATTGTCACCTACCGCAATCTGTCGTCGAAAAATTTATTTGTGTTGGAAGTCATTTGCAGTGACTGTATACAAAAATGGATAGATAGTAGACACATGGACAAATATGTGAACATATATGTGAACAAATAAATAGATAGATAGGAATAATATAATCTTTTATTGTTCTTTTGGACAAAAAAAAAAAATAGTTTCCGACAATTGTAAAAAAAATTATAAATTTAAATTTATGATCCGAGTGCCCTAAAAAAAAGGGATATGAATTGAATTTATTCATTAATCTGAAATTATTTTTAAAAATATCAAAATATTTCTGATAAAAAGAATATTTGATTTGGATGCTTCTAATTAAATATTGACGGTTAGTCAAATTGTGACCACAAGCTTTAGGGGCAGATATTAAAAAGAAGAATAATACTATGAATTTATTCTTATCAATTCATAAATTACTCAGAATTTTTACCTTGTGATTTAAATTTATTTTATATATGAACTCGCATATAAATTTAATCTTTACCATATAATTATCCACTCAAAAAAAATTTAGGCTCTGTTTGGTAGAGGTTTTAAAATTTAATTTTACCCTTAGTTTGAGTAAGTAGTTTGGTTACAATTTTAGAAAATTAATTCAACGTCCATTTTTCAAAATACTTTTCAAAACATCTTCTTTTTAATATTATATGTCACATCATTCAATTCAAACTTTTTTCAAAACTCATAACCAAATAAATTTTTCACACTCAAATTATAATTTCAAAATTCACAAACTCAAAATATAACTATATTCTCAAATTATAATTTTAAAACTCTATCAACCGTAACAATCCCTATCGTTTTCCTAAAAAGAATATTTGATTTGAATTTAGAATTTTTTCAGATTTATTTATTTATATAAGGTATATTTAAATATATATATATATATATTTTTTTTTTTAGGGTTAGGGGTAGATGTTTTTTTGGCAAAATAGAAAGGGTAAAAGTAACATTTTTCTAAACTACCAAAAAGGTCATCGTGAACCTAAAGAACAGCTAAAAACGCGTCTTCCGCTTTCTACTGTTCATTTCATTGAACTTCCCATTTCTCTTTCTTACTTTCTTTCATCTGTTATCCACCACCTCTCTCTGTCTCCTTTGATAGCCCCTCCAAACCAAACCTCTCTCCCTCTCTGTCTCTCTCTTTTCATGTAATCCTCCAAAAAGCACAAAATCCACGCCTACAACTCTCTCTCTGTACTGCAAAAATCCCCCAAAAAAGCCCATCAGACAACACACACAACCGAACCAAAAGCAAAAGTAGGAGAGAAAAGCACATATAGAGAGAGAAAAGGGTAGATTTTGAGAGAGAGAGAGAGGAACAGTAGGAGACAGACAAAGCAAAAATCATTTTCTGCAATTGCTTTCCTTATCCATCCATTCATGGGTTGCTCTGCTTCTCGTTCACATACCCTTCTCTCTACACCCACCGATCAACAACCCCCTTCCTACCCATCATCTTCTTCTCTCTCTTCTTCTTTCTACTCTGATTCCAATTCCACCCCAATCTCTCGAACTCTTTCTCTCCCCACCCCTCTCGTTCACCACCCGCCTCTCCGCAAAGGCGACACTAACCACTTGGTTTCTCTCACCTCCACCACCTACGGTTCTCTCATCCTCGTCGACCCAATTCCAAACCCTAACTCTAATCCCACTTTCAACGCTCACGATTGTCCCAATTTCTCTTCTTCACCTTCCCAGATCTCCAGAACCCTAACCCTAGCTGACCCAAAAGAGCCCTCATCACCCGACTCTGTTATCAACACTTGGGAGCTCATGGAAGGTCTGGACGACTTCGATTTCGATTTTGTTCAAAAACCGACTTCTTCAATCTATGACTGTCCAATTGAGTCCCCGAAAAAACCCAATTCGTATCAGTACTCGGATTGTAATGGGTCTGTCAAGCAAGGCTATGAATCGCTTGATTCACTGAGTTCTTTTGAAATTGTGGAACTTCCTGATTCGAAGCCGTTATGGAAGCATTTGTCGGAGGAGTCGTTGCTCGCAAAAATGGACCCCAATGTGGTTTCTAGTTACAGGTTAGCGTTGTCATCGAAGCGATTAGGGTGCAGAGATTCAAAGCCTAAAGCAATTAGACCTGTGGAGTCAGGTACTAAGAGTTGTTTATCACCCAGTAATCAATTCTATTTGCAAGGATCTGAGGATAAAATTGTCTTGTATTATACGAGTCTGCGTGGAATTCGGAGGACTTATGAAGATTGTTGTGCTGTTAGGATGATTCTTAGGGGCTTTAGGGTGTATGTAGATGAGAGGGATATATCAATGGACTCAGCATATAGGAAGGAGTTGCAGAGTGTGTTGGGAGGGAAGGCGGTGACTTTACCGCAGGTGTTTATTGGAGGGAAGTATGTTGGGGGTGCTGATGAGATTAAACAACTGCATGAGTGTGGTGAATTGGTAATTCTTTTGGAAGGGTTTCCGGTTCGGGATCTGGGGTATGTTTGCGAGAGTTGTGGAGATGCGAGGTTTATGCCATGCCCGAATTGTAATGGAAGTAGGAAAGTTTTTGAGGAAGAGGAAGGGAAATTGAGGAGGTGCCCAGAATGCAATGAGAATGGGTTGATTCGGTGCCCGGGTTGCTGCTCTTAAATGCTGCTGCTGCTGATTATTGACGCGATCACATCGGTATCTTTCATGAAAAGAAAATGTTAGTAATGAATTGAATATCTGTCTCTTTTAGGATTTTGTTTGAAACTTGCTTCAATCTGTCTATATTATTTAGCCGTTGGATATTATTGTTCATTGTCTCTCTGAACAAACTTGGAAATAATAAAATATTGCTAGATGCTTGTTCCCATTCAGTGTAGAGGATTGTGGGGGTTTCACATGTTAGCCGTGTGAGATTGTTTATTCATTTTATTTGTAATATAAATTTTGTTTTGTCTGTGTATTTGATTATTGGGACTAGAATAGGGTTGCATAGTGGGTTAAAAAAACAGACTACATGGCTGCATTCGTTGGTGTATTATTCTCTTGCCATGATTGAGTATATTCCTTTGTTCTTGGCATTTAGTTTAGGTGTGAGTCCAAATTCTCTCTTTGGAGCATGAACAATCAAGAAAAGTTCTATGTTCTAACTGTATGGAAATTCCTTGAAAGCTCAAGGAACTTGAAGGCTGAAAGACCTTAAAGAAAAACATTGAAATGCAATTTTGATGGCACCGTTAATACACATTAATAACATAGGCAAATCACCTAATTAGTTTATGTTTCTCTGGTAGATGATTTTGTTTGAACACTATAGTTATTGAATTTGTAGTAACAATCTGTAATGTGGCTAAAGTAGATCCATCCTTGCATAACCTTCTCTAAAAAGTAAGAAAAGTTCAGAAACTGTTCTGACAAAAGAAAAATCTCAGAATTCATGAACTTACATTGGCATGTCTGGAAAATGGGCAAGCACTGGACTGTTGATCCAATGTTTGTTTTACAATAAATAAAGGTATTTATGTATGCAAGTTTAATTCTAGTTATGACATGGAGATTTTGACGCTGTTCTCTGATTTAAATTACTGAAGTAACATATTTTGCATACTGTTATAGGGATTGTGCGTGATAACTATGTTATTTGCTATGCTTATAGCATATATTAGCATCAGACTGCATGAGATATCAGAAAGCTCCGTGGCTGTGTTGGCTTCATTTAGTCGGGGATTTGAAAACTCGATTGTAGTGTTGGTCCTATCGAAAGTGTGCCAAGGCAGTGGAGTGACTGCACTATTGCCCATGACTTTCAACCCATGCAGTTGTCATTAATTTTCTTCTTCCCCTTCCCTGCCTCCACAATCTGACTCTGTCAGCCTATATAGTAACCAGTTGAGAGCTCCAGAGATGGTGAAATATACGGGAGAATTTGATTTGTATTTTGAGATAAATTTTTTTAAAAAAAAATTGGAGTGTATTTTGAAATTTTTTTGGTTTGTTTGGTTGCATATTTTGAAAATAGTTTGGTAGTTTGTGATGATGTGATATTTTGTTGTAGTTGAGTAAATGTATATGAGAGAAAAAGTGATTGAGAATGAGAGATGAGAGAAAAAAAGTAATTAATTGATGTGTAAGAGAGAGAAAATGATTGAGAAGGAAATAGGCAGGAGAAAGTGATTGACTGATGTGTAAGAGAGAGTGATTTTGGAAATTTTTTTAAAAAAATTTGAAACGGAATTTTAAAACTCTCAAAAATTACATATTGAGATAGAAACCAAACAACTGCTCAATGTCTTTTCGGTCGTGAGGTTTTTCATAAGGAGTATTTGGAAATGGGGGAAAGGTTAAGTTCATCTCTTTTTTTTTTCATAGCTACATTGGATGCCATAGCATGGTGTCCGAATCCACTAGTAATATTTCCTGGAGTACGCCCCCCAAACAAAAATCTTCGACTCAAATTGCAGAGATTCCTACGGTCTGGACTTTCTGAAGTCGTAGCCCACCGTTCAAGAAAACACTGAAGAATTCAGGGCTTTCCGGTTACATAAATTGCCCAGGCTTGCACCTCTTCGTCGATTCTACCAACAGAGCTCTGTCTGTCTCTCATCTGCACTTTGGTCTCCAGTTTTGCAGGAAATAATGGGCAAAGGTCCTGGTCTTTACACTGATATTGGCAAGAAAGCTTGAGGTCCTGTGTGTGTGTGTGTGTGTGTGTGTGTAGTATGCATATATGTTAGTGCAGCTTGTATGTTTCTTATCCAGTCATTGCTGTACTGATCGGAAGGAGGATGGGGAGGACAAATTATGTATATTTTTTTTTTGTTTTTTAAAATAAATAACATCTATAAACAAATTACATTTTCTATATACAAACAAATTACATTTTGTTTTGGGTTTATTACACTGACATCCTTTCGTACTTTTTCGACAATAAACATGGACCTCCCCACTATTATTATTATTATTATTATTATCCCTCTATTATTATAATAAATCAGCTAAATAAAGTAGTTTACGGTCGGTGTAGAGAAAAACACTGCTCTTCTCAAAGATGTAGGCTAAGAATTTTAATTGTTTAAAATGTCAAAATTGCTCTTATGTCCCGCTTTTATCTACTATCACTACAACCAAACATCTCACCTCAACATTCACTCTATAACCAAACAAACTAACACCTGTTATGTTCCTCTTTCTCTTCTCTTCTCTTCTCTTCTCTTCCGCCCTCTAGCCGAATTGGGATCCTCCCCTTGAGCCCCCTCCTTCATTTCCTCCTTGCAAGGGCTTTCGGGTCTACTTTGAGGCCCAGTTTTGATAATCCGAACCGTTCATATTTTTAGATTTATTCAGTATATCATACCTGTAAAAAATCAAGTTGATCGAATATCATAAAGTATGTGTTCGGAAAACTGTTTATTAAAAAATAGTTTGTAGTCTCAATTTTCTGAACGCATACTTTTTGATATCCGATCAACTTTATTTTTTACAGGTATAATATACTGAATAAATCTAAAAATATGAACGGTTCGGATTATCAAAACTGGGCCTCAAAGTGGACCCGAAGACCCCTACAAGAAGGGAATGAAGGAGGGGACTCAAGGAGGGGATCTGGACTCTCTCTAGCCGACACTGCCAAGGCCATGTGCATGGTCCACATTGTAATTGTCAAGTTTTCCCCCCAAAATAAGGATTAATTGAAGCATCAGGCCTCCTTTGGAAACAGGTTATTTTAGTAACTTTTTAATTTTTTAACTAAAATATGAAGTAAAAAAAACTTGTATATTTGGAATATTTTTTGATTTTTTACAAAAAAAAATGTACAAAAAGTAGAGAGAGAAAAAAAAGCTTTAACTTTTTTATATAAATTATAAATTTTTTGATTTTTTTAATAACTTTTTAACTTTTATACTAAAATTAATATTTCTCAAATGAGACCTAAGTTGAAATAATTAACATCATAAAAGTGTATATTGACTAAAAATAATGGAATAATTATACAATATTTAGCATTCATAACAACCCTCAACTAACTTGCTCTAGTCACTACCAATAAAGGATAGTATAAAATAAAAATAAAAATAAAATCAATAAAAAATCAAAAGGTAAAATAAAAATTAGATGCTCTAAACCACTTTCGTAATAAATTACTATTACATTTAACATAGACAACAATCATTTAAATTCCTAATAAATAAATTTTAGTTTCGTGAGAAATTTTAGAAATGACACTCATAAATATGCTGAATTTTTCATTCACTTGAGTCAAGAATAAAGTCATAAATTTTATCATCATTTTTAACAATGGAATTAACCATATATAATTTAAAACATTAGAAACAAGAAAAGATGGGATTCAAAATTTAGGCTCCATTTGTTTTAATGCAAAATATTTTTCTATTTTACTCATTTTCCGTTGTTTGGTTGAACAAAAAATAAGTAAGATATTTTTGAATCATTTTTCAAAAAATGACTTATCTTTAAAATTTTCGTGAGTTAAGTTTTACAAATTTGACTTTCATTCAATACCTTTTCAACACATTTAGCATTTTCATAGTACCTTTAACTCACTAAAAAGTTATACATGACATTTTATTAAATCAAAATTTCTCTTTTAGACAATAAAATATTTTTGCTTCAACTGTCAACTAAATGCCAAAACACAAAAATAAAAACATTTTACGTCGAAACAAACGAAACCTTAGAGTGCAAAAAAGTTTAGCCAATATAAACACAATTTTAACCTCAAAGTGTAATATAACTCAAATCTTTTTTCAAAACATCATTATGACTCAATCTCAATGAATATCAGGGTTGACTCTGACAGTTTTGGGGCTCAAAGTGAACTTTCGATATGGGCCTCTGATACCTTAAAAATAAATAAATAAATAAATAAGTGTTGTTGTTAGCATCTATCTTTTTCCTTTGGACCTCCACATTTTTTTAATTTTTTTTATTACAATTTTGTCCTAACACCAATTTACATTTTTACCCATCTCTCTCATTCCAACCCTAAACCTAACCATCCATATTCACCTCCACTTCCACTCCACTCTTCGGTTGCCGGCAGCCTCCCCCTTCTGTGTCTCTCTTCTTTTTCTTCTTCTTCTTCTTCTTCAATAGATCCGACCACCTCTCACCACTGCGATCCTCTTTCATTTCTCTCTCTATCTCTTTTCTTCTTCTTCTTCTTCTTCTTCTTCTAGGTGCGTGGTCATCCTACCATCGTGAACTCCTCACCACTAGGTCGTCGAGTCCAACCATTTTCTTCTTAGTTCGTGTTTGTCCCATCGTCACGAACTCCTCACCGCCATGGCCGTCAAGTCCGACTTCGATCTTGGTCCTTAACCATCTTCTTCTTCCTTACCTTCTCTCACTACAAAAAATTTGGGATTTAAAAACGAAACAAACTTGTCTCAAAATGTACACATTTCGTCACTCAAACTAATTATGACGAAAAGTTTTTCGTCACCCATTTTGTCACCAAAACGTTGTTGCTAAAAGGTCTTAGAGACGAACAAATAAATTTGTCATTGAAAGGGATAAATTTGTGACGATTTTTCTTTTTGTCTCCAATACACTATGTTGGGAACATATTTGTAAGTAATTAGCGACAAAATATTTTGTCATTTGAGAGGGTAATTTGTGAACAAATTGGGTCGAGCTAAGAAGAGTCTTCTTTGAAAGTTGGGCCGCATAATGGGCCGAGGTAAGAGTTGGTGTAGCTCGGTCTTGGGCTAAGAAGCTACTAGGCCAGTTGCCAAGGCTTGGACCTAGCTATCTGAAGGTGGTCCTTTATCGGATCGAGATGTTGTCAATAAAGAGAGCTAAGCTATGTGTAGCTCGGCAGGGTGTCATTATGTAGATTGGCTTCCAGTCACACGAACCGAGCGGTACTGGACCGCGATAAGGCAGCTCGGTCGCGAATGTATATCCGAGCATGAGGGTGTGGCCATTTCACTTGGTTGGT